GCTTTAGGCCCTGGAGAGGCCATGAGTTGGAACTCAAATTCCTCTCCATAAAGCTTGGACCTTAGAGGAGTTATATTGTTGTTTAAAAAAAAAAAAAAAAAAGACTCAAAAGTACAGAGAGACAACAGGAAGCTTAGATTTAAAAAAGAAAGTTTCCGTAAGAATTTGGAGCTTTGGCTTGTGTGAAGTCAATTTATTCTACTTGTGTGGGGTTAATTTTCCTATGTGGTCCTAGAATCTGTAGCAGAGAAATTAAAATATAGTTTCAGACTTAGTAGAAACAAGTCTTCCCTCTTTCCCTTGGGAAAGATACTAATTATCTCATTTAATTCTCACAACTATCCTACGGAATAAGTAATATTACCCCAGTTTATAACAGACATTTAAATTTAGGGAGGTTAAGCAGCTTGCCCAAAGTTACCTAGCTATTATTTAACAGAGCTGGGATTTGAATCTGGTTGTTATTCACTCAATCAAAATACACTTACCAAGTTCTACCATGTGCCAAGTAGAAACAAGGTCCATTTCCTTTCCAATATATCACATTGCCTAATCTTTTTTGAGCAAATCAATAGATAAATGCAACCGTTCTCTTCTTTCTCAATTTTAGCAATTAAGTGAGAATGAAGGCAGCCAAGATCACAGGAAACCCACAGGATTCCCCTGGGCTCCGTCTGCCAGAGTAGCTCAGTCCTCTCTGCCAAAGGGACTTAAGTTGCTGAGACACTAAAGAGGGAAGAAAAAGAGCAACTACTCAATGGGTCCTATTTATTGGAATTAATTTTAATAGAATAAACATACAACAATTTTAGTTTATAGTAAATATTTTCAAACAGAAATTTCAAAATATTTATTATTAAGGTTACATAGGATAATAAGGCTGTTGTGATAAACACAAACATATGAAATCGAAAGTTAGTGATAACAGCTGTAATTCTACCAGGCTCAACCTCCAACATATTTCTGAATGTTATTTAGGTTGCTTCGCATTGAGAAAATCCTGATTTACAAATATAAGAAGCTGCAACTACTGTTGTTTTACTTAAATTAACATGCATTCTTAGAAGCTTAAGTTAATACATTGTTCACCTTATGTGTATAAAAATAGTTCTAAGTATTTTCTTAATATTTATAAAAATAGTTCTTTATAAAAATAGTGCTAAATATTTTTAAAAAATCAAATCACATACTTGAGGAATTTCTGAAGCACCACTTTAGTGTTCTTATGTAACAAAGTATGGAACAATCAGAGAAAGAGTTCTTGGAGATCCCTCCAGTTTCAGTCTAGGAAGTTATACAGAATACACAGTAAAGTACAAAGTTATAAGAAGGAATCAGTACGTTCCATTCACTGCTAATGGCTCTCTTCTGGGCCAAAACTCTCTATCTCCCCACCTCCATTCCTGCCATCACAATCATTATTCATCTACTGTTTGAGCATCATTTCCCACTTTTCTCCTTTTCTTTCTTTCTTAATAAAGATTTTATTATTATTATTTTTTTAAAGATTTATTTGAGAGAGAAAGCCAGCACATGCATGAGCAAGCCTGGGAGGAGGAGACGTGCATAAGGAGAGAGAATCCAAGAAAACTTTGTGCCTAGTGCAGAGGCCAATGTGGGGTTCCATCTCACAATCCCAAGATCATGATCTGAGCCAAAACCAAGAGTCTGGAGCTCAACCTAGGCTGCCCAAGATTTTTTTTAAGTAATATCCACACCCAGGATGGAGCTCACAGAGATCAAGAGTCGCATGCTCTTCTGACTGAGCCAGCCACGCGCTCCCCCTAAATTTTCCCCTTTTTCACTCTAGTCCAGCTAACCTCAAGTATTGACAGTATCCTGACCACACCTTCCTACTTCCCCATGTGTTTATACATACTGTTGCCTTCATCTTGGAATACTGTATTCTTTTTTTTTTTTTAAGATTTTATTTATTTATTTGACAGGACAGTAAGAGAGGGAACACAAGCAGGGTGAGTGGGAGAGCGAGAAGCAGGCCTCCCACTGAGCAGGTAGCCCAATGCAGGGCTCAATCCCAGGACCCTGGGATCATGATGCTTAAGGCAGATGCTTAAGGACTGAGCCACCGAGGCGCCCCAACGAATACTGTATTTTTGAAGGTGCATGATATGCTAAGAACCATGCTAGACAATCTAAATTCATTTTCTCATTTACTTCTATTACCCTATTTTACCCATATTTATTTATTTGTAAATAACACTTTAAAGCATTTACTTTGTGCCAGATATTACATGCTCAGTGCCTACACTATCTCATTTAATCCTGATAGCACCCCTAAATCAAAACAGTATGACTCTGACACAAAAGGACACACATAGATCGATGGAACAGAAGAGTCCTGAAATACACCCACATTTATGTATTTATATGGTTAATTAAACTATGAGAAAGGAGGCGAGAATATACAATGGGGAAAAGATAGTCTCTTTAATAAATGGCATTGGGAAAACTGGACAGCTTTTTACAAAAGAATAAACTTGGACCACCTTCTTCCACCATACACAAAAATAAACTCAAATGGATTAAAGTCCTAAGTGTGAGACTGAAATCATAAAACTCTGAAAAGAAAACACAGAGAGTAATCTCTTTGACAAGAGCCATTGCAGGGTCTCCTAAGATACGTCTCCTAAGGCAAGGGAAACAAAAGGAAAAATAAACCACTGGGACTACATCAAAATAAAAAGTTTTTGCACAGTGAAGGAAACCATCAACAAAAGGAAAGGCAATCTACCGAATGGGAAAAGATATCTGCAAATGATACATCCAATAAGGGATTAATATCCAAAATATATAAAGAACTTAGACAACACCAAAAATCCAAATAATTCAACTAAAAATGGGTAGGGGATCTGTCTAAAATATATATAGAACTTACACAACACCCCAAAAATCAAATAATCCAATTAAAAATAGGCAGAAGATCTGAATAGACATTTTTCCAAAGACATAAAAACACACATGGAAAGATGCTCAACATCACTCATCAGGGAAATACAAATCAAAACCATAATGAGGTATCACTTCCTGATAAAGTAAGAAAAACAAGAAACAACAAGGGTGGGTAAGGATGTAGAGAAAAAGGATCCTTTGTGCACTATTGATGAGAATGTAAATTGGTAGACACTGTGGAAAACAGTATGGAGGTTCCTCAAAAAATTAAAAACAAAAATACCATATGATCCAGTAATTCCACTACTGTGTGTTTGCCCAAAGAAAATGAAAACACTAATTTGACAAGATATATGCACCTATGTTTGCTGCAGTATTTTTTGCAATAGCCAAATTATAGAAGCAACCCAAATGTCCACTGGCAGATGAATGGATAAAAAAGATGGGGTGTGTGTGAGTATATAAATGGAATATTTCTTGTCATTCAAAGGAGTAAGATTGGGGTGCCTGGGTGGCTCAGTCATTAAGCAGCTGCCTTCGGCTCAGGTCATGATCCCAGGGTCCTGGGATTGAGCCCTGCATCGGGCTCCCTGCTGGGCAGGAAGCCTGCTTCTCCCTCTCCCACTCCCCCTCTTTGTATTCCCTCTCTTGCTGTGTCTCTCTCTGTCACATAAGTAAAGAAACTCTTTAAAAAAAAAAGTGGGGTGCTTGGGTGGCTCAGTGGGTTAAGCCTCTGCCTTCGGCTCAGGTCATGATCTCAGGGTCCTAGGATCAAGCCCCACATCGGGCTCTCTGCTCAGCAGGGAGCCTGCCTCCCCCTCTCTCTGCCTGCCTCTCTGCCTACTTGTGATCTCTCTCTCTGTGTCAAATAAATAAAAAAATAAAATCTAAAAAAAAAAAAAAAGGAATAAGATCTTATCATTTGCGACAACACGGATGGACCCAGAGAATATTACACTAAGTGAAATAAGTCAGACAGAGAAGGATAAATAGTGCATGTCTTCACTTTATATGGAATCTAAAAAAAATAAAAGAAATGAATAAACAAAAAGCAGAAACAGACTTGTACATACAGAGAACCAACTGATGATTGCCAGAGGGGAGTTTGGTGGGGGATGCAAAATAGGACAGGAGGAGTGGGAGACACAGGCTTCCAGATATAAAATGAATAAAAGGGACAGCAGAGGGATAGTCAGTGATATTAGTGTATATATGGTAACAGATGGTGGGTACACTTGTGATGAGCCTAGCACAACATACAGACTTGTTGAATCAGTATGTTTTACACCTGAAACTAAAGTAATATTATATGTCAACTAGACTTCAATTAAAAAAAAACTTAGAATGAGGAAGAATGAAGGAAAGAAAGGAAGGGAGGGAGGAAGGAAGGATGGAAAGATAGAGGGATGAAAGGAGGAAGGAAGGGAGGAAGGGAGGGAAGATAATACTATCGGCCTCATTTTATAATAGGAGCACCAAGGCTCTGGAAGGTTAAAAAATTTTGCCCAAGACCAAGTAAGGGAGAGAATCCTTCCTGAAAGGATGCTGTCTAAGCTCAGAGCTGAGTTCTTAAAGAATAAGATGAAGCTCAAGGGGAAAATGGCACTCCAGACAGAGGGACAACATACACAAAGAAAAATAGGAAAAGAGCTTGGTATACAGTTTAGGAAAAGGATCAGTCTTCAAAATCAGCAGACCTGGGTTCAAATATCTATTTTTGGTTTTGTTTAATGGTCTCTTACTATGACTATGGCTTTCTCAACTGTGAAGTAGTGATAAGAAGCTGTACCATGAAGGACTGCTTTAAGATTAAAATTAAACATATGTGGAAGTAATCACAGGGCCAGGCCTATGGTAGGTACTCAATAATTAAATGTTACCTCCCTTCCTTTCCCCTAGTTGACAGTTCAATAATGCTTAGTTGTAAGAACTGGACCAGTAAGAACTGGACATATCTCTTCTGTAAGTTGCCAAGCTTTATTGGAGCTTTTGGAGGCTCTGGTAAAATACACCAAAAGTCATTCAGCAAGTTACCTGTAATGTCCTTAACCACCATTTTTCCAAACGAGAACAATTCTCACACCACTCACCTGTGTAGGCCATGTTCTTCGGGTTGCCATAAGGAGCCCCAGGCTGCACGGGGCTATACACTGGGTTCATTGCGGAAGACTGAGAAACCTTTAGAGAAACAAAGAAAACAGCACTGATTACTGACTGCTTATTTTCCCGGACACCAGCTTCCCCTCTATAATCTTCAGTTTATACTCACAGAGAACACATGGTACAGCAGAAAGAGGACTAAACAAAAAGCCGTTTGTTTGTACTTGGCCCTATGCTATACACTTTGCTCATTATACAGATGAACATATTGAGAAGCAGAGAGGAGCTACAACTTGCCTAATGCCAACACAGGCCTTTTGCCTTTCAGTTCAGAATCAGACCCACTATCCCACAGATGACTCTGCTACTAGTATACTGTGTGGCACTGGCCAAGTCACTTCGCCTCACTGAAGTCCAATGTACTGCTGTAAAACCAATTAGTTTAGACTCTGTGAAGTACTTTCTAATTCTAAGGATGCTAGTCCAGGAGCTAGGAAAAGATGCACTTCTACTGCTCACCGGTGGAGCCCAAGAGCCAAACAATGAGCACTATTAGGAACTATTAGGAAGAGAAGCAAGTGTCTTACCAATCCTTTGCACCTGCAGCGGACAAGATACCAGTTACCAGCAGATTTGGAAAAAATAGAAGTTTATTGCCATTGATCTTTTTAATGCAAACAAGGAAACACAGCCAAGATCTCTTTCAAAATTTATCCAATGGAAAGAAATAAACTTGGATATTTGTGTACAGTAAGTATCACCTGCACAAGTGCTCTGTTAATTACCTTAAGGAAGCACATTCTCCATCCTGATTAATGGAAAAATCTGTCATTAAACTCTATTAGCCAGTCAATTTGTCCCATCTTGTTTAGGGAACCATCTCTGATATATAGGACAACACACTTAAAAAACTTGTCTCTACAAATACATTATTTACACTTCATAAAAATCAAACAATTCCCTCCTAACTAGGCTCAAATGATGGATGGGCAATTTTTTAGGTCATTAACTTCTCTTGTAGCACCTCAGGATAGGAAACAAGTCAAATGTCAAGATAGGCAGTGAACAGCTGGCTTGATGACAATTGCTCTGCAATTAATTAAGTCTCACCAGGGTTCTGGAAGGAAAGGCAGAGTAAAAATAGGTTCCCAAGGAGATGAAGGTAGGGCGGTCAAACAGGCAAAAAGGGAAATGTCGCCAGTCAATTTCAAAGGCTAGAACTTCCTGAAATGTATCCAATGGGCAGCCCAGGCAAATCACCCCAAGACAACCAACTAAACTACCACCAGTTGACAAACTGAAACCAGAAAAAAAGTTGAGGATGAAAGTTACAGGAGATAATATATTTCAGCACATCTTAAGGAGAAAATACCCTGGCAGCCACAGTTATCCAAGAATACAGCCAAGTAGCTCTCTAAATATAAGCACTCTCCGAAAGGTACTGGGAGAATTAAGAGAGATGTCAGAATGTCAAAAATACATTGCACACTGTTGGGTGGCATGCAGGGGTAAATGATGACCATGGTAATGTGACAACAACAACAACAACAACAACACCGAAGACTACTTGTATGCTTTCCGTGGCTGGGATCTTTCTTCTGCCCAGCTAGTTCTCTGCTAAATAAGCTGGGGTAAGCAAGGCTATTGAAGTGCTAAGCAGTACAACTAGCTCTATAAACATCTGGTCACTCTCCTACTGAGAAGGTACCTTGTGTTGCTGATTGGGCAAGGTATGAAATTGCTTTTCATAACCAAAGAAATGCATCAGTTTTGGAACGGGTCTCCTGCTGCTCCAAAATGAGGGCCAAAGCCTCAAAAGGAGATCATGCCTGGGCAGCACTCCACAACAGCATCGATCCCAAGCCCAACTCATGACCAACAGAAGTGAGATCTGCCAGGGGTTCAAAACTTAGATTAACAATGTGACAGCCCCATCTGGGAAGCTGCTCACAGGAAGAAAGGGTTCCTAGCTTTCAAGGGAAGGTCAACCTTTCAGAAGAGAATCCACACACTGTTAATAGTTTCAGGGACAGGCTAAAAATGAGTAAGAAGATACAAACTCTACGATCAGGCAGATTTAGGTTCAAGTCCTGGAACTGCCACGGATCAAATGTGGGACCACAGGCAAGTCCACTGACCTTCTGAGCTTCAGTTTCCTCTAGCTTCAAAATAGAAAAGAATATTACAGTAGAGTTGTTGTAAGATTTTTTTTTAAAAACAGATTTGTTGAAGTATAATTTACATATAGTGAAACTTATCCCTTTCAGATATACAATTCTGTGAGCTCTGAAAAATGTATAGTCATATAAGAACTCCCCTACGAGTAAGATATAAAGCATTTTCACCACCCCCAAAAATTCTCTCATCTTTGTAGTCAATACCCTCCCACTGATTCCCAGCCTGTGACAACCACTGATCTGTTTTCTGTTGTTCTATATATACAACATATATCAACTTTCACGTTACAGATGAAAAAAGTGAGGCTGAGGAAAGGCAAATGAACAGTCCAAGGTCACAAAGCAAGTAAAGGCAGGGTCAAGACTAGTATCCCAAATGTATCAAAGACCTAAATGAAAGAGCTGAAAATATAAAACTCATACAGGAAAGAAGAGAATAAAGGCATAAACCTTTGTAACCTTGGATTTGGCAATGGCTTCTTAAATATGATACCAATAGCACAAACAACCAAAAGAAAAAAAAAATCAACAAAACTAAAAACTCTGCTTTTAAGGGCACCGTTAAGAAAGTGAAAGACAGCCCACAGAATGAGAGAAATTTGCAAATCATTAACAGCTGACCCTGTAACAATGCAGGGGTTCTGCCCCAACCCCTCTGCAGTCCAAAATTTCATATAACTTTTGACTCCCCAAAAACCTAACTACCAAGAACCTTCTGTTGACTGGAAGCCTCACCATAACAAACATTCAATTAACACATATTTTATATATGTATTACATATTGTATTCTTATGAAAAAGCAAGCTAAAAAGAAAAAGAAAATGTTATTAATAAAATCATAAGGAAAAGAAAATACATTTACAGCACTGTATTGTAAAAAATCCGTGTGTAAGTGGACACACAGTTCAAACCTGCGCTGTTCAAGGGTCAAATGTATAGGATAGGGGATTCGTATTTAAAATATATAAAGAATTCTTTTTTTTTTTTTTTTAAGAATTCTTAATTCAAGGGGCGCCTGGGTGGCTCAGTGGGTTAAAGCCTCTGCCTTTGGCTCAGGTCATGATTCCAGGGTTCTGGGATCGAGCTCCGCATCGGGGGTCTCTCCTCAGTGGGGAGCCTGCTTCCTCCTCTCTCTCGGCCTGCTCCTCTGCCTACTTGTGATCTCTGTCTGTCAAATAAATAAATAAAATCTTTAAAAAAAAAAAAAAAGAATTCTTAACTCAATAATAAAAAGGCCACTAATCCAATTAAAAAATGGGCAAAGGATCTGAACACACATTTCTTTGAAAAAGTTATATAAGTGGCCAATAAGCAAATGAAAAGATGCAAATCAAAACCAAATCAGATACTTCACATACACTAGATGGCTACAATCAAAAAGATAACAAGTAGTGTTGGCAAGGATGTGGAGAATGAAACCTCATATAATGCTGGTGGGAATGTAAAATGATACACCCCTTTAGAAAAAAAAGTCTGACAGTTCCTCAAATTGTTAAACATAGAGTTACCACAACATCCAACAATTCCACTCCTAGGCATATACTACAGAGAAATGAAAATGTTATGTCCATATGAATGTTTATAGCAGCATTATTCATAATAGTCAAAAGAGGGAAACAAATGTTCAACTGGTGAATGGATAAACGGAGTATGGTACACTGATACAACAAAATATTTGTCAATAAAAAGAAAGGTGTTGATATATGATATACAACATGAATGAACCTTGAAAACATTATATTAAGTGAAAAAAGTCAGTCACAAAAGACCACATATTATGTAATTCCATTTATATGAAATTTCCAGAACAGGCAAACCTATAGAGATAAAAGATCAATTAGCAGTTGCCTAGATTAGTTCATGATACATAAAACCTAGTAACTTCCAAATCCACACTTTCTCACAATAATTATTATAACACTCGACCACACATCCATACTCACACACACCCTAGTTCCTGAACATTTCTCCAAATCCACTATACTCAAAACTAAACTCGCCATATTTTCCCAGGCCCATTCTTCCATCCTGTATTGCCTGTCTCAGAGTTACTGACAATCCATCCACCTAGCACCTAAGAGAAAAACATATATATATATATATATATATATATAAAATCCTAAATTCCTCCCACTCTTTCATACCTGATCAATCAGCAACTCCCTTTCTCATTGCTATTGTCTGTTTTAAGTTTTAAAATCTCTTGTCTAAACTACTACAACAGTCCCAAGAGGTCTCTTTTTCCAAAATTTCATCCAGTCTACCTCATCCCTGATATTCTTTATTAAAACACAGGTTGTATGGGTTACCCTCTTCAAAGGCTTTGGGAATAAAATCCAAACTCCTTCACACGGTATACGATATTCTTTATGCGCTCTCTGGGATGGGGCTCGGGAATCTATGTTCCCAAGGAGATCCTGAAGCCCAAACAGTCTGAAGACATTGCCTACGACTCTCCTTCCCAAATGCAATCTGTCCCACATAAGCCTGATAGAGGAACAGCAGTGAACAAGAACAATATTCCTACCTGCATTTGAGTTGGGGTTGAAGAAGACATAATTTTCTAAAAAGTAAAATATATTGTATATCAGATACTGGTAAATGCAATAGATAAATCCACTGAGGGCGGTGGACAGAGTGCGCTGAGGGGAGAGAGGGCAATTTTTAAAATAGCTAGGGAAAATGTCATTGAATGACATCTAAGCAATGAATAAGTTGAAGAAACAAAACATACAACTGAGAGGAAACTGTCCCAAGTAGAGGAAACAGCAAATGCAAATGCCCTGAAGTGGAGCCATGTATGAGAAACAGCATGGAGGCCAGTTTAGCTGGAAAGCAGTGAAACAAAGAGAAAAAAGTAGACAGTGAGACCAGAAAGGTAATGAGGGTCTAGTCATGCCA